GACTGTATATAGAAAAACTCTAGACAAATTCTGTAACGTCCAGATCTGATCAGATAAAGCCGCGATAAACTATTTTCCATGAATTAAAAAAAGTTTTTCTCCTGTGTAATACATACATACGTACATGCATATAAGAATATTTGAACTGGTGTTTGAAATATAAATACAAGTATTGCGCGGCTGTTCCGCATTGATAAATAAAAAAAAATGTTAATTAACTATGTATATAACAACAGCATTTGGGTCGATTTTAGGTCAATGACTATAAGGATAGTTTAAACTCATAAAATCCACAATATTGCACGAATTAATTTATATTTTTTATTGCATAGAATTTTTTTGACTTACCTATTTGAAAATTTTAGATATAGGAGGCATTAATGCACGTATAATGATAATAAAACAAAAGGGTGCATGACAACGTAAATTTTGACAGGACTAATAATACCATTTCTTTTTTTTTTCTTTACAACAAAACTAAAATGAAAATAAAATTAAAAATTGTTTGTACGTAAGTGAGTACTTGTGTATATGTATTGATGTGAATAGGAAACAGAAATATGCAATATGTTGTATTGCAGCCGTATCGTAGCGTTTATGAAATTTTCTGAAATAAAGGCGGCTTTTAAGAATATGTAAGCAGGTAAAAAGTTTTTGTGACGGTGCCAGAGTTTGGGGCTTTACAAAAAAAAATTTTCACGATCTGAAAATTGATGAAGGCCCTGAAATTGGAAGAGGTGATTTTTAACCTTTTTAAAGGTTAAATATGGAATTTTCTTCCCCTCGCAAATATTCTGGTGAACATTCTTCCATGGAAATTTGCAAGAAATACATTATACTTTACGAAGAGATATAGAAATACCAGAATTAAGCGAATTATGTGTGACTAGAACTATCGCACTTATATTTAATTAAATAATTGCAGTATAAAAAATAAAAGTAAAAAAAAGGTTTTGAATAGTAATTTAAAAAAATAAAATTGAGATTAATATTTGAAAACACTTGCAGGATATTGAATGCTGCATAATAATATGCAAATAACACAAATAACACATTTTTGGTTAAATTATTTAATTGTAATCAAGAATAAAATACAGTTTTTTTACGAACATACTTACATACATCTTAACGAAATATAATAACGGTAATTTCCGAAAATTCAAACATGCACTTACCATTCTAATTTAAATCTTAAAATTTTTTATTGCATACATAGATCTGTTTACTTTTGCAGATTTTTAATGTCTTATTGAACGTTTACATCGGTAAGTTATTGACAAGAAAATAGGATGCATTCATAAATACATACATACAATGAAATATTTATGAAGTGACAATAAGATGAAGTGGCAGATACAATGAAATATTTATGAAGTGACAGTTATTAGAGTCACCTCAACTCACAAGAAAATATTGCTTCAAGTAATATGACCTATTGAATAAATGAAAAAAAATTAAAACTAAAAATTTTCGAATTACGAACTGGGCAAAAGCCCCCGTAATTTTCACCAGTAATTTTCTTTTAAAAGTTAAAAGTTTTGCCCAGTTCGTAATTCGAAAATTTTTAGTTTTAAAAAAAATTAAAACTAAAAATTTTCGAATTACGAACTGGGCAAAAGCCCCCGTAATTTTCACCAGTAATTTTCTTTTAAAAGTAAATATTGTAAATAAAGTTCTGGAGGTGTGGTAAAAATTTAAAATCGTTCTCTAATTCGGTTTTGAAGCCCTGATCTTTTCAAAAAACTTTTGTTCATTTATTTAACAACCGGAATTTAAATATTGAATTTCAAGGAAATTGGTTGATTATTTATATGCGCAAAAATGTAAAATTGTCCCAGAAATTTATCAAGTTGCCGAGGCCTGATGTATACCAAAAGTTGATCAGTCCGTGACATAGCCGAAATAAAGCAAAAATAAAATTTTATGTACATACAGACGGACAAATCAACTGACCGACAGATCGACTTTCTGATAAGAATAGTTTCCGTGACTTTAATAATGCTGTAAAAAAGATTTAAGTATGGTATTAATACGGTTGTAGTACCGTCTCAGAGCTTTCAATACGTTTACATTGTTAAAAAAACTACTAAAGTTTTTCGTACATTTTGGAATACAATTTTTACAATATTGTTATACATACTTTGACGTTTGTTTGAAAAGTTCAATTTAAAGTTCTGTGCAAATGTTAATTTTTGACAAACATCACCAAGTCATGAAAAACATTGCATTTTTATGCTGCATTTTAGGAAAAAACTTAATAACTAACACTTTATTGCTGAAAATAAACGCTAATTTATTTAATTGGTTATTTATGGCAACATTTATATGACAAGGTATAAGAAAAGCGTGCTTGATTTTTTCGATACCCGATTTACTTTAATTTTACAACTCCACTACGTATAAAACGCATTTAGGAAAAGTGTACAATGTCAAGAGCTTTTACTAAACTTTTTGGAATTTGATACTTTGTAAAATTTACGTCGTAAGCGCACTATTGAAGTCACAGTTTATTTACACTTCCCTATTAATGAAGAAGTGCGTTTCCACGAAAAACTAGATATTTGAAATTTAGTGCCGTCAAATAATTTCGCTTATTGTATGTAATCGAAATTAATTTGAGAAAGGAAAAATTTAAAAATATAAAAAATCTAAGCAAAATCTAATTTTGAAGTTTTTGTTAATAAAGACTTCAGAAAATCCTGAATCCTGACATTTTTCTTAAGCTTGGAGAAACTATTTTCAAATGTACTTTTTTTGTAATAGAGATTTACTGAGAGCTTTATATTAAGATCAAAGTTAGAACTGAATTACCGAAAATGCTTAACTTCATCAATAAAGTTATGCACCTGTTTGTTATCTGTTACAAAATAAGTCATATGAATAAATCAACACTGTCGTATGTGTTATTTATAAATGTGTGCATAGACAGTCTAAAAATTCAAATTTATCATATAATGGAGTGTTTTTAAAACTTTCTTTGTTATTAATTGACAAACTAAGTTCAGTATATTAACTTACATTGTAATTGAACCGTACGTAATCTTGTAACATATCATATGTTACGTTTAAGTGTGTGTATATTAAACTTTTGTATGAAATAAAATACATTAACAAGGATTATTTATTTTTTTTGTATGAATTATTGTAGGTAAAGCAGTCATTTTGAAAGATACCATTGACATGTGCATATACAATGTTACGTATTATATAAGAAGCTTAATATTGCCAAACAATGTGAAAATTTTTTTAATCCAATGTGAGAAATTGTTAGATTTTATATAAAATATAGTTAATTCTCCTACTTAATTCATTTTAATGATTATCGTTTTACTTAACAAGCATTTGAACCATGTGTAGCATTTACAAATTCGGAGGCATTAAATATCAAGGCCATTTTAAGTTCGTTTACAATAACACTACTTGCTTAAATCCTTTTGTTTAAAAAGAAAAATGAAGAAAATTTTAATAAGTGTATTGTAATAAATGAAATTAAAATGATGAGTAAGTTAGAAACATAAAAGATAATAAAAAATGGATAAAAAGTGGAAATTTTATCCGATTTTGCAATAACAGAAAATATGCATAGTTACATTCATAGACAATTCATGGACAACAACATAATATAATAGTAGTTTAATTCAATAATTGGATCACGGTACCTATGCCGCGGATGTTACAATTCGGTATGTACACATACGAAAAATCTATTAATTATTCACTTTGATTATTTGTTTACAATTTGAAAAATTCTGTACACTGTACAAAAATAAACCTAACATATTTTCACAAAGCTTCTGTTCCAGCTTTCATACTTCAGTTGCGATTAAATTCAATTCAGTAAAACAAAAAATATTATAAAGTCCCATATTGTACTAAAATTTCTTAATGGAAGTATCACTTACTTTAAAACATACATATATACATATACATACTAAAAATTTGAATATCTCAGTTAAAGGATTTTTAATTTATAGCAAATTTCTTCTTTTTCAAACTTATAAAACAAACGCAAAAATACATGGGACATTAATTTCAAATTTGACAATTTCCTGATCATATATTTAATAAACTTGTTTAGGAACCTCGCGGTCAAATCTAAAAAGAGTAATAAATTGTTCTTAAATATGACATATTTCGGTTATACTTATATAAGTCCTTTTAGACTTAAGTTTACTTGAGCTATTTTTGTGAAGAAAATGTGTTAATTACAATTGTTTGAGATCGTGAAACATATCACAAATTTAAATAACTATTTTAAACATTTTCTCATAATTTATTTTGAATTACAAGACAACATTGAATTTACATAAGGAACTGAGGATTTGGAGAACGCTTATATGTAATGTACATATTCTTGAGGAAATATTAAAAATAAAAAGAATATATTTTTTGTTTAGCCTTTAGTATCACGAAAATTATTAAAAAAATATCTTAAAACGTTAATTTTGGGCTGGTAAAAAGATTTTTGCACAATGTTCCTCGGATGTTTTCTAAGCTCTACTATTTTCATTTTAAAATCAAGTGCAGAACAACCAAAAATTAAACTTTTTACAGATTTTTGCCTTTTTTTGTACGTTAATTAGAAAAGCTTATGTTTTTGCTATATTTTGCAGTTACCTTAATCCAATCCTCATTTCATTACCTTTTGCCTTATAAAATGGATATGAAATAGAAAAGTTACTTATAAATCATACTAGGTTTTTGTAGTTAGTCAATTTTAACTTATGATTACCGTTGCGGTATTAGTACAATATATTTGTTTAGTACAAAAATTTGAACCCAACATCCTAAATTTGATATACAAATCTCGAACAAAACAAATTTTCAATAGGAACAAGAAAAACTCTTTCGTTTTAAGTAATTTAAATATAATTTAGTTATTTAAATAATAAAAATTATCTTATGGAATAGTTGCCTTAATAAAATATAAATTGTCATAAAATTAGGAGAAATCTTGAAAAATTTTAAAAATTTATTAAAGCCTGACATTCTGTACATACATTTTTTTGATAGACGAAGTAATTTTTGACCTTTCTGCGTTTACAGAATAATATTTCTTATAAAAGTATATTTCCGATATGGGTATTTTGTCAAAAATTTGCGTTTTTATAACTTTTGGAAGATATACCAAAGTTTTCATTCTGAAGAAATAATGCATTTACTAAGTTGTATTTTGGTACGAATTCATTATTTTTGATATTAGATGCGTTTTCTAGGACAAATTGTTCACTCAAATTAAATTATAAATACATAGTTGTAAGGATTCTTAATTTCTCACTTTCTATTTTATCGTTCTTCATTTTTACTTTCTTTAAAATGCGTTCAAAAAACGGCACTTCTTTTTTCCGTTGTATTTAATGTTAAAATGATTAATTAAAAATAAATTTTTTAACCAAACAAATGATATGAGCACTGTTATATCGTTTTTTTCTTTTTTTGCTAACTCAATACACTCTTTGTAAACATTTGTTGTGTATTATTATAATCACTTTGAAAACTGAACAAAAACTAAGGGAGCAAAATTGGGAATATAAAAAAATACTCTTTCTTGTGGAACGAAGGGAAAACCAGTATAAACAACAATTATACCTGAATTGAACACCTACGATGATTTGAGTATTATTTTGAGTTTATATTTAAGTCTTCAAAGGTATTTTAAGTTATTTTTTTTTCTGATTTTCGAAATGACTCACTAATTTTTAACTTCCACAATTCCCCTATATATTGAAGTGTGTGCGTGATGGTGTTTAACACGAATTCATGAATGAATTCCAAAGTCTAGTTGTTGGAATAAAAGTACCTGTATACACAATATTAATTTTTGATTTCATACCTAGAAATAATTATTAATAAATATTATTAATAACTAATATTATTAAGTATGAATTTTTTTTTTATTAAATTTCAATCCATTTTTTGTAAACACTTACTTCGCACTATTTTATTTCTTCGGAAATTGAACAAAAATTTAAGGATAAAGTTATGGAAATACGAAAAAGTACTCTTTGTTTAACGAAGGAAAAATGTGAAACATGCAAATGTACCCGAATACCTACAACGGTTTGAGTATTGTTTTGTATTTCATTGAATGAGTTTTTTTCTGTTTTCGAAATGACTTACTTTTTTTTATTTCCAGAATTCCACTTTAAACTTAAGTGTGTGCAATAGTTTTGCTCACCAATTCATGAATGAATTCCAGTAATTAGTTTGTTGCATTACAACCAATTTTATACTTATGTAAATGAATGTCAGCATTCTTTTTTCTTTTTCTTAAGTTTTGAAACAGAATTTTACAAATTCCAGTTGTCAACTGCAACTCTTTCGATAATAATAAAGATTTCATTTAGCATACTTTACATATCCTTAATTTAAAATTTGCTGCAAAATTATAATAATGTGAAAAATGTTTCAATTTAATTTCATAACATTATAAGCGATTTTAAAGAAAAATCAAATCAGAACGAATTTATGTACTTTAAGACATTGAAGCCTTTAATTTTTTCACTTTAGGTTAGGTTATAGTATCCACCAAAGAAATATTAAAATAATAAAGAATATGAAATAAAAGGATCATCAGTGGCAAAAATGTTAATCCCAGATTCAAACCCTAACCTCGATGTCAACGTATTAAAATCAACATTGAGATAATTGTTGGAATATCATTTTCTATGCAGCTAGAGGAAGTGTTACGCTTGAATTTTTACAAAACTGGCCCGAGAAAATTTAACTCCACTTCTCCACAAAATCTGTAGTGAAAATCGTCTATGGCCGGATAAGACAGTCGTAAGGAGCCTCATTCTATTCTTGCCCATTTCAATAATCTTTTAAAATGCTTTTTATTATAAAAGCATTCTAAGAAGATTAGTGTCGTCTGATTACACAGAAGGGTTCTGCCATTTCCACCATATCTGCCATTTCATTCCCTTCTACACCGGTGTCTCTGTATCCAACACAGCGTCACAGGTTGTGCATACCCAACTCATTGAGTCCCAGTAAACAGCTACCAGAGTTGTTGTCTCCGATAACCTCTTTCAAGTTCGCACCGCACGCACAAGGAGCTGTACAGCTCCTCAATGGCGTAAGTTTCAAAACAAACTCCATCACTGCAGATCACACGACGTTTGTATCGTTCTGTATCAAGTATCGAACATCTCACTAAGGTATACTTTATCTCGGCCTTGACTGTTACATTTCTCTATGAACACTGATCGTACACTGATTTTCCAATTATTTTGAATTTAGTATAGAACAGGAATACTTGCATCTCTATACCTCAGAGCTTAAACCATTATTCCTCAACTTTTCAAACATAGTTTGACGGGTATAAACAGAACAAAAAAAACAAAAGTTCTGTTTACGCAACTTTTATTGGGTTTTACGTATTTTTTGTTGCAAGATTAATGATAAAACGATTATAAAAATCATTTAAAAATTTTGTTGCAACACATATACAACAACAAATTTTGGGAATGCGTTTAAAATAAAAATAAGGATTTTTTTTCTGTATCTTAATTTTTTTCTAAAAAATTAATTTTGCTGCAATTATCTTGCAAAGGATAACAACAATTTAATTTTCGAATATTATAGAAATTCAATGAGGTAAATTTTTTTTCTTTCTTTCAATCAAGTTGATTCCAATTATTACCGCTAATTCTGTAGAATGCCAAAAATTATTCTTGAAAAGTAATAATTATGCGTCAATTTCACTTGTCAATCCCCTAATTATTACCTTTTTTCAATTCAAAACGATAACATTTATTATCTACTTTGATATATACAACATATATGATATAATATGTTATATATCTTCAGTACATAAATATACATATGTATGTTATATTTAACTAATTTAAGATACGTATATTATACGATACGTATATTTTAAAAATTTAAAAAAAATATTTTTAAATTACTGCCTTTAATTTTAAAACCAACAAATGGACCTTTACTATGGGCTGATTTTATTCTTGCTATAGGCCAGAAAAATCGAACAATAAAATTTGTAAAGCTATTTTCGCAAAATTTTCAAGTTACTTTCGTATATGTGATGTGTTTCCCAAAATTTCTATTTTTAGTATAAGTCATCAAATGTAAGATATATTTTATGTTGCGCCATATAGTACGATTAAGGATATAGTACATTTTCTTATTCTAATCGGGCAACATTTTTTATCCTTGTTGCTACGGTAAACACAAACATGATTTAATAATAATTTTTAACAAACTTTTTAAAATGATTTTTGAAATCTTTGAGCTAAACTTAATCTCACAATATATACGAATTGAAAACATAACTAACTTACAGATTCAAACTCAATACTGTCAATTACAATTAAAAAAAGTCTGTATTTTCAAACCAAAGAAAAAATTTTGTTAAAATTTTATAAATTATCTCTTGATATAGCACATTTGTTGCCCAAATAATTATAAGTTCCAAAGTTGCCCAAAAAATTATAATTTCTAATAAGATAATAGCATATATTACCAAACCAAGGCTCAAAATCATTATTTTGTATTTAAAATCATTATATTGATCTGCTGGTAAAGAAAATTTTTGTTTTGAGTTTTTGTATTTTTATTTTTTTTGACCTCATACCCGTAGTAAGGAAATGTATCTAAGCATTTTTGGTGTTAAGCGCTTTAATAGAATAAAGAGAATCTGGAATAACAATCTTTTAAATCTTATTCTTAAATTGGGAACACGGCATCAAATAATAAGCTGAACATGTTCTTTCATAAGGTTCTTTTTTTTTCACTCCTAGTAGGAGCATAGGGCTAGTGCGTGATATCGTTGGTAGTCAAGCCCTAGTTTCATTACATCATAGAGTTTTAACTAGGTAGGTGACTCTTTAAAGTTTAAATATCTAATAATAGAATATTAGGTACACTAGCTAATAGCCAATTCGATGTAAAACAGAAGCTCCTAAACTTTTTTCTCTCGTAGACCCCTTGTCGTGTTTTTTAATTTTTGATAAAACCCCTGCTACTTTCTTTGAAAGATTTAAATTTCTAACAGTAGTAAGATACTACTGTTAAATTCTAATTTTTAAATACTAATCTGTACGTGAGGAAAACTAAACAAAAAATAAATCCTATACATATCGCTAGCTTTTTCAGTCAATATTATCACATATGTATTTATTAAAAATAAATGGGAGGGATAATTTAGTGAGATTTAACCCTACACTCCCTTTTTTAATTGGTAGACCATAATTTTTTTTTCACCTTCGTAGACCACTAGTAGGTCTTCATGAACGTCCAGGGGGTCTTTATAGACCACATTGGGAATCATTGATGTAGTACATTGATAAATCTCCCATGATGTTTTGTCGATTTGTTTCTCGAAAATTCTTACAAAAGCTGATAACTGATGAAAACGTCCCATTCTTTCCCTTTTAAGAATTATTTTTGAAGGCTTGAACAGAATACGAGTATTGGTCTTTAAAATTGTGCAATCAAAAAAACCAAAAATTAGTTTCTTTATATTAACATTACAAAATTTATTTATATTGTTTCAATTTATTGAAAACAATAAATTCTGACTTTACTTAATTTCATTAATTTTGTTGTAAACAAAAATCACATGAATTTGGGTCGTTGTGGTTTTATACCCAACAAAAATGAGAATTTCCCACGATCTGACAACAGTGCTCCAATGGTTTCAGTGATGTATTTCATATATTTCTATTGCTCTTAAATATGCTTACAAAATGCAACACCACCAGTTACCGATACGCTAAAAAGTCTTAGGTTAATTACAAAAGGTATAACGTATTTCATTTTAACAGATTCACCTATATGGCGCTAACAAGAAACCACAAACGATTCATATTGCTTTTGAATATGAACTTATGATAATTTTGACCGCATATTGAAACCACGGAATTTCAAAAATCTGAAAATGAACACTAGAAGTTACAATAAATTATAGGTACTTGAATGAGCAATGTTAACCTCAAACAAAAGCAACTTAATTGTTCATAAAATACGTAATGAAAAAAATTTTATTTAATTGATTGGAAATATGGTAAGAAATTATTTTTGAATGACAAAATATTAAGCTTGCGTATATGTGTCTAACAGTGTAAAATAATACCTTACGTCAATACAAAAAAAAGTTTTTTAAACATGTTTTTTATTTTTCACTAAAGCAAAAGTTTGTTTTGACCGAATTACACCTTGAATCAGTAATTGTGAAAATAAAATTATGCACGATGGCAAATTTTTCAATGAGATCAGGAAAAAATACTTGCAAATGTGAAACTGATCCTTCTAGACTAACATTTAAAGGAAGAATTTCAACAAATGGATATGCAATATGCATGATTGTGCATAATCCTGTTTCTTTTATTCATGCGGTTTTATTCACTTGAATGTGTAGTCCTAAGTATCAGGCACATGTTTATTATTTATTTGAAATAAAGGTGAGTG